AAGGCAAAGTAGAGTGACCTGAAAACGAAGCTTCTTCTATTTTACAGAAAATCTTCGATGGGTTATAACTGTGATTAATTATTATATCAAACATTACTCCAAAACAAAATGAATACAACATTTTCAGATTTCATAGAATTATGCGTTTGGCGTCCTTCTGATGCGACTATTTTAAGTAATATCCTTACACAGTCATAAAATTATTAATAAAATAATTTAAAAAACCAGTGGAAACGAAGGAAATGTATGACGTAACAGTTGAGTTTACTAATGTAAGTACATGGAAAATTAGATAATAAAAAATATGAAGTTTGAAAGATTAATCAGGTAGTATATAAACAAATCAAAATTATAATTTTTAATTCTTTAAGAACATCTATAAAAACATAAAAATTGCTCATAGTTGGTAACTGTAGATTCCAATCAAGTATGAATAATAACCATTTTAAAATTGAATTATTGTTTGCAACGCCTTGTATTCACACAAAGCAAATGAATCATCGTATTTTAAATGAGCAATTCAAATGAGTTTCAGACAAATAACTTTTCTGAAGTGCGCATGTGTCGCTGCGGTACAACATGAAATTTGATTACGATTGAAAGTATTTGGCTCTGGAGCAGTTGGGATATATTCTTTGAAGTAGAAGAGGTAAAAAATGACTCATTAAATACGTTTTGATACGTTTTTATATTTAAAATCTTATATTTAGAAATAAAAGTACTTGTATTGAAATTCTCGTGTCTAGTTTCGAAAAAAATACTTATTACTCTTCCTATTGTTCTGGGTTGCTGTTTTTAGCTACTTAAAGAAAAACGTCTAGTCAGGCTCTATCTGAAGGCTGTGCATATTGCCAATAGCCCTGCAGTGTAATTTACGTAGGTAAACCCTTCGCTGTAAAGCTTCCAAGTCCAAAGCAAACCACTACTCTCTGCAGCTTCGCATAATCCATCTTGTGTAGAAGAACAATGGTATTCCAGTGCCAGTTTCAACAGTCGAATCACACAGAAAGCATCAGGTACTACGTCCAGCAACAGTCCTAATACATCTTCGTATGAAATAGCATGGATACTCGTTTCATTCTCTAGCTTCTTATCTTGGTGAACCCATGTCCTCTTGGCCTCGTTATCCTGCAAAGCCAGTATTTCTGCGGAGTAAAATAGGGTCCAGTGTATTGGTCTGATAGCAAGCAGAGTTCATCTTGTCTTTTGTATCTACTTATCTGATCCCTAACTTACTCCTGGTACAGTATCATGAATTTCTTCGAAAATGTTTTGCGACATGCCGTGTAGCACTTTTGGAAATATTTCTCGCCATTGAATTTTATAAAATAGCTTGAGGCTTGTTACAGTTGCTAAAGCACATATACACTTCTTTGGGTGTCACCATGTATGCCATTTTATCTGACTTACATATTGCTCATACAGTTTTCTACAGTTGTTTCTTCTTTCGTGGATATGTCGTGGAAGGAGTTTATGTACTAGTGACTTGCTGCCTTTCGAGACAGGGATCCTTCTTAATGTTTACTGCTGCCTGGGAAAAGTAGGCGGATTTTGCCATTGAACTATTTATTAATTGATTCTCACCTGTTACAAGACACTGTACTTTGCTTACTATGGCTGAGGTATGACTTGTCACATGTCTCTTTTTTGGGAGGTCCTGGTGCCTCAAGTTGACTCACATTCCTTTGTTTTCCAACTTCATTAAGTACAAGGAATATTGCCGGCTTGGAAATTCTAAATCCTCAACCTGAACGTGTATTTATGATCTGACTGTATGGCTATCGTGCATAGAAAAGGGCTTCACTCACCCTTCCCAAATGTAATGAATTTTTGGTGGCTTCTCGCTAAGTCACAAAACATCAAACAATGTCAAAATGTAGTTCTAATTACTCGTGTTTCATGATAACTTTATATTAGCTGTAATTATGACGTGACTAGCTGATATGTATTAGGTCGTCAAAAAATAATATCGCTTTTTTTTAGATGAAAAAACCCGAACAACTTATATATTAAAACAAAACATTTATTAAATGAAATAGTCTCCATTCGTATCGATGATGCTTTTCCATCTTACAATCAGGTTGTTAATGTCCTGATTAAAAAAATCACTTGGCTTTGAAGCAAAAAAACATGTTGATATCCTCTTTAACACCTTCCACATTTGCATACCTTTTCCCATTAAGATGGTGTTGCAGCGAACGAAAAATATGATAATCTGATGGTGCCATATCTGAAGAATATGGTGGGTGGGGGAGAACTTCCAACTCAACTCTATAATCTTGTGTTGCGTCAAACGTGCATTGTCGTGGAGAAAAAGAACACCTTTCCAATTGACGAGTGAAGGGAGTTTCTGATGAAGGGCTTGATTTAAACGTTCCAGTTGCTCACTATGGATCTCTGCATTGACAATTCGCTGTGGATTGAGGAGTTCGAAATGAATTACTCCTTTGATGTACCACTAAATACAAAGCATCACTTTCTGCGGGAGGAGTCCAGGTTTTGGGGTCGGAAGTGGTTTTTGTCTAGGACTGAGCCATTGTTTTTGGCGTTTAGTATTCGCATAGAGAATAAATTTTTCATCATCGGTGACAATTCTGTCCAAAAATGGTTCACGCGCATTACGCACCAGAAGAGACGAGGCAACGTTCACACGTTGGAAACAATAATCATAGGAGAGTTTGTGAGGCACCGAAACACCTTATTTAAGGATATTCCTTAGATGTTTACGCATTGTTTCATGAGAGACATGCAATTTCAGAGCCATTTCACGAGTGTGTTGCCTACATGTCGGCCCCTGCCATCACAATTTTTAAGGCTAAAGTCACCTGAACAAAAT